ACCCCCCCCCCCCCCCCCCCCCCGCCCAAAACTCTCTAACCTCTTCTAATTCGGCTCTAGTATAAGGTGTTGTAGACTGAAATACCTGCAATACAAAAACAACATACGACATAAAGTTTAATAATATATGAAAAAGAAAATGATGATAAACACTTCATTACTTTCAAAAACACACTAAAACAAACTTACATCAGATAACGGTACAGAAGATTGTGCACACATATTGACGATGAGCCAACAAAATCGCATGGTATAATAACCACACTCAACGTTCCCTACTTGTTGAGGTACTCCGGGAACATCAACCCAATCCGGTCGAGCCTTAAGCTGAGGCATGTGCTGTTCCCGAAGTAAGCGCCAAGACCTTTAATATATGTAAAAAACAAATTATTAAGAAATTAATATCTTAACAAATAAAATTTTTGTTAAGATATGGAGGACGGGGACGATTGAGAATGACACGACGACGGCTTGGAGAGGGAAACGACGAGGAGAGAACGACGGCGGGAGAGGGCGACGGTGGCAGTTGGCAACGGGGAGGACAGAGCGACGGCTGCAGTGGAGGACGACGGCGAAGTGGAGGATGACGAGGAGTAGGAAGAGCGGCAACAGCGAAATGGAGGACGCGGACGATTAAGAATGACACGGCGACGGAGCACAGACCGAATGAGACGACGACGGAGGGTTTTTTTTCAAAATCGGGTAAGGATAATGAATTGGAGGCTATGGACAAAGTTTAAACAAGATTTTTTGCATCGGTTAAACGTAATAACCGATTCAAATGGTTATTTGAATCGGTTATTACGTTTAACTGATGCAAATGCTAAATATCATTTGAATCGGTTAAACGTAATAACCGATTCAAATAACCATTTGAATCGGTTATTACGTTTAACCGATTCAAATGATTACCGATACGCGAATTTTTTTCATTTAAATCGTTTGTTTCGCGGACCGATGCAAATGTGGTGATTATTTGGTCATTTTTGTAGGAGTGCACGATCAATAATGACCTCGTGCTTGTATATGAGAATGAGATTTAGTAGGATATCTTGTTGAGAAATCTTTAATTTGCACGGGAATGTGCAATAATGTTATTCTCTACTGAAATTCTTGAGCCAATGAAGTTATTATAATATAGACAAGAAAGGAATTCTCAAAGAAGACTGAATACTTTGGAAGTCTCAAATCTGGAATGCTTAATGATACCCAGAAGTCTTGCTACAACCCGCTGAAGGCTAAATCATCTGGATCGGAATACTAGCACGGATCACCTACTCACCTGGAAGTCTAAGAATGACTTATCCAGAATTGTCAAACAAAGAACCGGATGTCTCAAGGAACACAGGAACTCTCAGACACGGACAAGTGAGAAAAGACTTAAAAAAATTCTTCTAGGTCATGAATGAAGAAATTCTACCCGTTGGTAAGGAAAAATCAATTTCTTGATTTTCAATGGCTAGATTGAGGGTAATAAAGTTGTTTCAAGAACAAATTGCATGAAGACAAAGTTTGGACTCCCTAAATTGAAGAGCTCGGGTAAAATTCTTGAACAGACACTAGAAGACAAAATGGGTACTCCACTCAATAAAAGCTACAGTCCAAAGTTCTTGAACAAAAGCTAAAGGACGGATTCTGTGAAAAAGGAATCCCTCTTCAAAAAATTGGATGTGCCCAAACACCCACTCCAAAGGAGAATCCTCAATCTCACTCTTCGTTCAAATTGAAGCCAGCAAATGCAACGGATAGTCTATTCCCTTCAACGGATAGATTATCCATCCAGTCTATAAATAGCTCCCATTGAAGACGGAAGAGATAACAATGAACACAGAAAGCTACAATTAAAGCTATCTCATTCACAGCTAGCCAAAAAGTTTGATAAAGAGAGATCTCTAAACTTCTTATCCAGAAGCAAACTCCTCCTTCTTCTAAATGTTAGAATAAGTGCCCTTAACTAGAGGGGGGGGGGGTGAATAGTGAGGCACGAGAATGTTTATAAATTTTCGCGGAATAAAAATCGCAGGGATAAAGTAAAG